TGTCAGTCATGTTTTTTATTTTGTTGAGTGAGTCTTTCATTTCTAGAAGTTCTGCTACACTCTTTTTTATGGTATTAGTCTCTTTGTAGATTTTCTCCTTCATATTCTGGATGTTTTTTCTTGTTTCATTGTGTTCTCTAATTGAGTCTTCCTTTATTTCTTCAAGTTTTCCTAAGATCATTACTCAAAATTCTTTTTCAGACATTACAAGGATTCCCTGTTCCATGGAGTTTGACTTTGGGGCATTACTGTATACTTTCAGTGGTGTCATTTCTTCTTTATTATTTGTACTTCTAGTGTTTTTTCAGTGATGCTTGGTCATTTGGTAGGGGGTTTGCTTCTTCTGTTACACTGAGGTTGGCTGTGGAGGGGCCTTGGTTGCTACTGCAGGGGTGAACTGTCTTACTTGACAGTAGGTGTGGTAGTGGTTATGTTAAACCAACACGGTTCCTATTCTAGACTCTGTGGTCATAGAATGAGCCCCTAACATGTGGAGTTCTGCTGGGCCAAACTTGGTGGGTCGGATCCATAGGCTGGTGCTCCCCCCCTGGATCTGAGGTGGGATGAGGGGCCATGTGGAGCCACGTGGTTCTACTGGCTGGCTGGCGCTGGCAGGCTCACCTGCACGGGGCCAGTTTGGGGTGGTGGGGTGGGGTCTGGAGCTCCACCCCTGCCTGGGTCCAAGGCAGCGGGATGGCGGGGGCCACATGGAGCCACATGGTTCCACTGGCTGGCACCAGTGGACTCACCTCCTGACAGCATTTTTTAAATTCAGCTTTGGAAAATGAGTTTTCAAACTTAACCTCAGTGATCCTCACAAGGTAATTAAAGTTTGTTGAGTACTTGTTATGGCTGATTACTGTTCTAAGTCAGTGTTCTAAACATGTAATGTATATTAACTCATTTAATCCTCAAAATCCTTTGATAATGGTATCATTATTATTTCTGCTTTATAAATGAGGCAACTGAGGCTCAGAAAATTAGGTAACTCACCTAAAAAATAAGTGGTGGACCCAGGATTCTAATTCAGGCAGTCTGGCTCCAGAGTCCACTCTTTCACTGTTATTCAGTTTATTCCAGAGATAGTATGCTTAAAGACAGGACCCACACCAGCTGAATAAGTGTGGATGGTTTTAACCAAGAGATGAAAATTAGAACTAGAGCCCAAGCAAGAGAAATGATTTCAGGTGAGTGATTCTTAACCTTCATGTCATCAGTCTTAAGTAGTGTTTGATAACATGGATTCTGCAGCTAGAAATGGGGAAAGTAATAATAGTACCTTCATAGAGATATTTTGAGGGCTAAAAGTGAATGCATGTGAAGCCTGTAGCACAGTGCCTTACATATAGTACTCAATAGCTATTATTATTAAAGATCTCTTAAGAACCTTCTTCATAGAAAATATATGTATTTGTGTATACACCCAAGCATACAAGTTTAGGCTCTTTGTTGACCACGTAAAACCCACGTTTGGATCCTAGGGTCAGAATAAAGGATCCCTGCTGTAACAAAAGAAATCTCTTTACCCTTGAAGTGGTTGAATCAGAGTTTGTTGGTCAAGGTAAAGAGTGCCAGTTATTTTCTCCTGGTATCCTTATATTAAGGTAAAACAAGTACAGTCTTCATTTATTAATGCCTGTTTTTGATACTGAGTAATTTAATTCATAATTTCATAGTATTTCTCGACTGCTGATGCTCATATTATTTGGGGAATTGATCGTCAAATAAACACATTTAACTAGAGAGACAGCTGAAAATCCATTGTGATGGTTCAGAATTTGTACCCATTCCCATCCTTCATCCCTCCAGATCCCTAGCTCTTTATATACAATTGTTTAAGACACTGAGTCTCCACTGCTGCTACCACCCCTTCCAACTCTATCAATAACCCAGTGGCAGTAGTGATTGGAAATGTAGAATGCTACAAAACGATAGAAGATAAGCTAAGGTAACCATGGATTAAAGAGCTATATTGCCAAGCGCTACATTGAAAGGGGCTATTAAGTAAGTCTAAAAGATAGCAACCAGATGTCAAAGGATATGACTATCATATCATGTGAAGAACCAGGGTCACAGTCAGGGAGAAGAAAAGACTAAGGTAGTGAGAAGAGAACTGTTACTTGCCGTCTTTGCACTTTAGAGAGGTTGTGTGGTATGGTAAGTCAGAGTTCAGACTTAGACCTCTGAATTCAAATCTCAACTCTGCCACTTTCTGACCATTATGACCTAAGAAACTTGTGACCCAGTTTCTTCTTTTTGTTAATAAAGTAGAGATGATAATAGTATGACCTATAGGGGTCTTAGGAGTTAATGACAGTGTTTGAAAAGCACTGCACAAAGTCTAGCATGCTTTAAATGTTCATTCAGTAAATGCATAGCATTGAAGATGATGATACCTCCCAGGCGAAACTGAAAAAAATGAGTTAATGTTATAGAGAGGTAGGTTCTGGCTCAGTCTGAGGAAGAAATGCTGTCCCTGAATGTGTTAAAGACTGAACAACTATATATCTTATATTAGAGATTTATATGGCATTCTGCCATTTGGTAAGAAGTCATAGTCCAAGTTCCCTTACCACTAAGACTCTTTGACTTTATGTAGCAAACGCATATAAAAACTATGTTTTATTACTGTGGTTGTTTATGTTACAGAATTAAATCCAAAGAAGATGGGCCATGTTATGTTTTAGTTTAATATAATGAGATTTTTATTGGTTTCTTTAGTTAATACCATTTACAAATTGAGACCACTTGCCAAGAGCACTTGCCCCCTGGGTGGGCCCTGATGCACTGTCCCAGCATGCCTCATTGTGGGAGGGTGGGTCCAGTCCCAACTCCTTATCCTGGGTCCCTGGGCAGGCCCCAAGGTGCTGGCGTGATGAGCCTGGTTGTGGGAGGGGGGTCCGGTCCCCTTCTCCATGCCTTGGGTCCCTGGGTGGGCCCCAAGGTGCTGGCGTGATGTGCCTGGTTGTGGGAAGGGGGTCCGGTCCCTGGCTGCTAGCCCCGGGTCCCAGGGCAGGCCCCTAGGCATTGGTGGTGTGCCTGTATGTGGGAGTGGGGTCCGGTCCTTGGCTCCAATCCTCGCATTCCTGGGTGGGGCCCCAAGGTGCTGGCCGTGTGAGTGGTTGTGGGCAGGGGTCCTGCCTCTGGCTCCATGCCTCATGTCCCCATGCCTCATGTCCCCATGCCTTATGTCCCCTGGTGGGCCCCAAGGCATTCCTGGTATGCCTGGGCCAGAAATAAGTTTTTGTCCTTTACTTGCTTCTAAAATGGGGCAACTTCCTGTGGGAACTAGTACTTGAGCTGTGTGGTTGAGGTAAATTGCTGCTTTGCTGCTGATTCCCTGGGGAAGGCTTTTTGTGCAGCTCAGGTTTAATGGTTGACCTTATAGGTACTTCCGGCTCTCCAGATACTCGGTGCACCTAGGTTGTGTAGAAACTCTGATCTGGGCCTGAGTTTTTTCATCAAACTGCACCCCATGCAATTCTGTATTCCTGACTAGTCTCCTCTGTGTGGTCCTGCACTGATGGGGGCGGATTAGCTGTTCTAGCTGTGTCCCAGTGTTCTTCCGGTGGGCCATCTCCCCCACCACCCATGCTCCAAACACTTACTATGGGATGGGTCATGCACCAGTCCCTTGTGATGACTCACCGGCCTCTGAGTGGCTCCCCTTTCACAGCTGTTCTGGCTCCTCACTTCTGTGTGGGTCCACGGGAACCCTGTTAGTGGTCTTGCTGTCCTGGGTGCCTTGGTGGCCCACTTCTCCCCTTCTGCCTCCTGCTCCATGCACTTAGCATTTCCAGCCTTAAAGCAGCTGCGGCCCAAAACACTTCAAGCAGTTTTTCCTTCCTCTCATTGTGGCTTCTCCCCCTTCATGAACTCCATAGGTCTCTCCTCCTCTTCCCCTGAGCTCCAGCAGCCCCAGCTTGGCTGATGTTACATTTTTATAGTTGTAAATTGGTTGATTTGGGGGAAAGAGTGACACTGGGGACTGTCTATTCCACCATCTTGACTGGAAGTCCTCTACAACTATTTTAAAACTGTAAGAAAGACACAATCCCCTTGGGGTTCCTTTTCCCTAGCAAGAATTTGACATAGGAAAGTCTTTCAAGAGAAATGTGAAATATTTTGTCTTCTACCCCACCGTTTCATTAGTAGTCCTTTCCAAGTCTATGTTTGGCATCCTAGACAGTAGTTGACTTGAAAAATATTTTACTTCCAGATAAGTCATATTTTATTTTAAATTGTATATGAGTTGTATATTATTAGAAATAATGCTTTTTTAGAGCCAGGCTTTTTTTAAAAAAAAAATTAAACCCACAGAAAAGTTGAAACAACAGAATAATGAACACCAATTTTATACCCTCACCCAGATTCACCAACTGTCAATCTTACTATAGCTTCTCCATCTTTATTGCTATACACACACACATCTCCTCTGACAAATCATCCAAAAGTATGCTACAGACATCAGAAATATGTTATTTTAATTGTTATTTTATCCAGTGCTCTAGTGCAGCAGAGCAACATGATTGTTGTAAAGTTTGTTGTATAGTTGGTGACAGATGTTGGAATGTTAGTGTTTATTATCTGAAGTCTGTGGTACATTTTTTTGGAGTCAGGGAGACTCAGATTAAGGTTATCTTCTTTATCCCTGGGTGATGCCTCCTAAATTTCTGTGATCTGGGTGGTCACAGAAGAAATATTTGATATTTATTAGTGAGTTTAAGACCCTAAAAACTAATGACAGTGCTATTCTTGAGTGAAAACAAAGTAGTTAAAATACTACATATCTTTTAAAATCCCTTTGCTTTTATATGATGGGCAGTTTGGAAAAAGGAAAAACAATATTTAAATGGAATTTGTGTTAGGACTTCACTCTGTCATCAGTTAGAATGTTTACTTATTGTTATAAATTGATGCTATCTTATGGAAAATATGTCCATTGTAATCACTTAATCTAGGTATGACTACAACTATAAGCTTTTTTTTTCTTTTTTTAGGAGATTTTGATGAATTCACTGAAGATAATAATGACATTATATTGAAAAACATAGCAGAAGACCTTCGGAATTGCTTACCTCTAGAAACCATGCTTTCCTCAGAACATCTAGCCCTTCAAAAAGTAAGTACATTAGGGCCAGCCCGTGGCTCACTCGGTAGAGGGTGGTGCTGATAACACCAAGGCCCCGGGTTCAGATCCCACATAGGGATGGCCGGTTCGCTCAGTGGCTGAGCGTGGTGCTGACAGCACCAAGTCAAGGGTTAAGATCCCCTTACCGGTCATCTTTTAAAAAAAAAAAAAAAAGTAAGTACATTAGGGCCGGCCCGTGGCTCACTCGGTAGAGTGGGGTGCTGATAACACCAAGGCCCCGGGTTCAGATCCCACATAGGGATGGCCGGTTCGCTCAGTGGCTGAGCGTGGTGCTGACAGCACCAAGTCAAGGGTTAAGATCCCCTTACCGGTCATCTTTTAAAAAAAAAAAAAAAAAGTAAGTACATTAAATTTAATTTACTTTTAAAGCTACTTAAGTATTCTTCTACTGTTCCCTAACCCTGCAGCCTCTCCAGTCTAATTAGTCCTAATTTGACTTCAAACAGTTTTTCATTTAGTGCTTCAGCAATGTCCATAATTCTTTTGAGTCCTTAACCCTTTGGTTCTGTACTATTCATTCAACAAATGTTTTTGAGAGCATCCTGTTTGCCAGGCACTCAAAAATCAAAAAACATTCAAGGCCCAACAAGGGCCAGCAGTATGGCCCTACCTACATCATTGTCCTGATTTTCTCTTTGCCTTTCCATTTCCCTTACTCTTACCAAGGATGAAGTTCATCTTTTTGTTTCCTTTTCCTGCTTTTGCATTGCACATTTTTTGCATATTCTTCTATTCCTTTATTTCTACAATTAGTTCTCATTTTTCTTCTTCAGAAAACCCCCTCATTCAAATCCCAACCCTTATGGGAAATATATGCTATGATAAGGTAAAGCTAATAATAATAATAATTTTTTTCATTCACTAATCTATAAATAACAGTCCTCCCTGTGGTTTTTCAGCCTTTAAGTGCCTGAGCATAGGAACTAAGTCCTGTACTTTCTTTATATATATTTTTTTAAAGATGATCAGTAAGGGGATCTTAACCCTTGACTTGGTGTTGTCAGCACCACGCTCTCCCAAGTGAGCTAACCGGCCATCCCTATATAGTGATCCGAACCCGTGGCCTTGGTGTTTTCAACACCACACTCTCCCAAGTGAGCTAACCGGCCATCCCTATATAGTGATCCGAACCCGTGGCCTTGGTGTTTTCAACACCACACTCTCCCAAGTGAGCCATGGGCTGGCCCCAAATCCTGTACATTCTTAATAGTACTGTACACATTGTGAACACTTAGCAAATCTTGGTAAACATCGGTCACTCAGTGTAGGCTCTCAGAGGAAGAAAATAGTGTATAGCCTAAAAATTGAGAGAAATATTTGTAATATGGCTTGGATGTTATTAATAAAACAATCCTATAAATATGATATAATATATAAAATGAGGAAAAAAGTATTTATTGCGTGTGAATAATTGACCCACAGTCTCCTATCCTAACAAACTTTTTATTTTTCTGTTTCCTTCTGATCCTTGTATATGTTCACATCTCGTTATTATATACTTAAAATATAGGGGGTTTTTTGTGTGTAGATGTAGATATAATTTTGAGGATTCCTTATTACAGATAAGGTAGAGGAACCAGACATTTTTTTTCTTTGTACCTTTTTTTTTTGTTATATCATGTATCACAAGTATTAGGAATGTTATTTGTAAACATGAAGGTTTTTTTTTTTGGTTTTTTTTTTTCCTTTTTGTCTTTTTTCGTGACTGGTAACGGGATCGCAACCCTCAGTGTCGCGCCCGTACTGCGACCGGCAACGGGATCGCAACCCTCGGTGGGAGCGCCACCCTCTATCGAGTGTGCCGGCCCTAAACATGAAGTTTTAATAGCATTTTTATTATTTGAAAACTTTGCCTTCTGCGTAAAGATTACTTACTAAATATTTTGATGGTAAGTCACTGACATGTAGGACTTTGAAGACCCCTCCTAACTAGTATAATTTCTTTGGAGAAATCTCTCTGGGTATCAGTTTCTTTGTAAAATATACTACTTAGAATGGACAAGATGATCTCTAATATTCCTTTTTAAATAAAATTTTATATATTTCTCATAGCGGTGTTTTGCATTATTCCAGGTCACATAAAAAGTTGCTACTGTCTCAAAATGGAAGAAGAGCAGAGTTACTGACTTGAATAAACAAAACTTGTCTTTCTTGCCTTGTTATTGTTCAGAATTTTAGCATATGAACCACTGATGCCTTGCCTTATTTAGCAATAAAAAGAAACTTCTTTGTACTTTGTTTCTTTTGATGTTTTTTTTTCTCTCCACCAGATACAGCAGCAGCCAGAACCCACTGTTCACGTTGATGCATTCCTTTATGATGAAGACTTTATTGATTCATTATGTGAGGAAGGAAAAATGAGCAGAAACTACTGTATGATGTGTGGTTCACGCCAAATATCACCTTTAGGTAGGCATTCAAGTGTGCATATCTGATGACTTTATGTGTACTTTTTCATACATGTCATGAGTATGCAAATTTGTGACCAAGCTTTTGATGTTTTTTTAAAGCAATAGGCCAACTTGCAGTATGGCCATGACCAAATATTGCAGTTAGGGAGACTAAATAGAAATATTATTTGGGGAGGCTGAGCCACTCATTGTCCCCCGGGACACATCTAGAAAGTGTTTACAGGTTCCGAAATTACTCAGTAGTGACTGAATACAAGGAAACTGACACATACTCTACATACTCAACAGAGATTGATGTATAAACCATATGCTGATTTATTTACAATGAGAGATATAACTTCCAAGAGGGTTCAGATGTTCTCCCTATGAAAATATCTACTTGAGACGTCAGATAGTGATCAGATATTATTGGGTGGGCATGGACTCAGAGGACAGAGAGAGAATTTTTTTTTTTTTTGGCGGCTAGCTAAACCTGTGACCCTGGAGTTATAAGGCTGTGCTCTAACCAACTGAGCTAACCAGCCAGCCCCTAGAGAGAGAATCTTGAGAAGGAGTTTACCCGGGCCATGATTTGACCCAGTAAAGCATCCCCGATCCATAACAGAACAACTCCAGTGGCAGAAAGTCTCCTGCATCTCTGCCCCTCAGCTGCAACACCTGTGTCCCAAACAGGAAGCTAGACTGACTTCATGCTGCTAACATCTTAACTCTTCTGTTAATGTATTCTTTGTTCAAACTGAATGTGATTGTCTAGGCTCCTGGCTTTAGACATGCATCTTCCCGTCTCTTAGATTTAGAGTTATTGCTTAGAGTGGGCTACCCTTCTTGTGTTTATATTACTCATCTTAGATAATATTATTCTCAAAGATTAAGGGCTATGGTTGTCAAAGTCCACTCCCACAAGAGGGATCCTTCTGAGGCCTAATCAAACCCTGTATTCTCTTCCAAGGGATTGGCCAGCCCACTTACATTTTCTCTATCACAGTGTATTGGTTATGACCAAGGTTTCTCTCATTCTTATCATTTTATTATATAGATCATAATATAGTAAGTCTTTGCGTTACCTCCATATCAGAAGAAAACTAGACTCAGGCTGTAGCAGGTATTTCCTCACAAAAACTGGGGTGAGAAGATGGATTAGGAGGCTAGACATGGTGAGAAATAAGAATAGTTTATGTGGGATCTTAATTTCCTTCCATACCACTCTTTTCTTGCACCCTAGCACACATTTTAGGTTGATAAAGGCTACTACATCGCACAGCTCCAGTGATGGTCATCAATTTGATAATCTACTGTCTATGCAGCATGTGGCAATCATGAGGTTGTCTCTGAAGTAAGGTGAGAAAGCCAGATCGTGTGGAAGTTAGGAAGCTGTGCCAGGGAACAACAAGTCATGGGAAGAAAAGGAAGGGGAAAACCCAGATTATCCCAAGCAGCAGCGAGAAAGGAAATGAGGGGCACAGGGATAGGGACAGTCATCTGGGTAGCTGTTCCCTAGAGGCTTTTAAATGTCAGAAACTTAATATTTGTTTTTCTCTAATACAGCTCAGAATAGGTGAGCGCAAAATTATCACACTAATTTTTTCTAAATAATCTCTGGATGGCTTTCACTGATTTAAAAAACCAATGAAATATATTTTATAGATATTGGTGAAAGAATTAGAAATACAGAATGCAGTTGTTAATACCCAAGCAAAATTTGATGTTCATTCTGTTCTAATTCTCCAGGATTTATTTCTCATTCCTTCTCTCTCATGGAATTGAAGTTCATTTATCATCATGTACTCCCTGATCTGTCGGGAAAGGTCTTGGTTGACGTTGGCTCCAGGCTTGGCACAGTCCTTTATGGGGTAAAGTCCAGCTTATAGACAAACTCACCATTTGGGAAATACTTTCTTACTGCTAGCAACAGCTTTGCCTGTCACCAGCCGAGATGACAACCTGGCTTTATTCATTAGAGTAACAGGCTAAGGTTAAAATAGTATAACATAGGTATACACTTAAGTTGTATGAGGGTACTTCAAAAAGCTTGTTGAAAAATAGAATCGAAAAATAAGTTTCTGTGAACTTACTGAAGTACCATCATATTTGATGGTAATAATTGAATTTGGAATTTCAAAGACCAGGTGTCTACTTTCCTTTACTAGTTTGTCTCTGCAATGCAAATGAAAGAATATCAACAAAACAGAAGCATGTAATCTCATAACACTTTGCTATTTTGTCAGTCACTACTGCTTCTGACCCTTTTTTCTTTGTGGTTATTACTAAAATAGTATGCTGAGCTTTGACAACAGCTCTTATAAAACTGACAAATTTAGTTGACCTAGGAAATCACTGTATGGCCATAAGCAAGCCACTTAACACCTCTGGGCTTCTAGTTCTTCGTGTGTAAAGAGCAAACGAAATGGTATCCAAGGACACATCTTGCTCCAGTTTTCTGTGATCCAAAGTTTGAATGTAGACATTTGTTTCTGAAACATCACTTCAATGTGGCTTTTTTAAAAATTCAAATCATGAGTATTTCTAATGGTTTGAAGGCTGAAATGTGCTTTCTGGTTGTCATTAGTAGACTTGTTAAAACATGTGGCCAACAGCAGTAGAGGATCATGCCAGAAACAGGCACTATCAGTTCCCAGCATCCTTGCCTGCTCTAAACAGAAACAGTTAACTCTTTAATGCTTAATTTATTTTTCTGTTAAAACTTTTATAGTAGAATTAGGAAAGCTAGCCATAATAGAAAATACAGAGTTTGTTAGATGGTTTTTGTTTGGAGAACTTTAGAGATTATGATTATTTTACCATATTTTGTCTACTCTAGTCAATTTTCTTATTTGTTCAAAAAGTATAAAACTGAAATAATTGTGGCTATGCAGATATGGTATCATTGTTGATAAATTTAAATATATTGCCCTTTTTCCTCATATTAGGTCACTGATTCAGTCAATACAAATTTTTTGAATACATACATATGCACTGTTGAACATATTCTAAAAATCCACAGATACAGATTTGATTTTTACATAGGCTGATATAAAATGATCTTCAGAAAGTTATTTGACCTTTCCTTGAAAATTATTTTTTTGTCATTGCAACCAAAAATAGATACATAACAATATATAATCAATTCTTGATTATCCTTATTAACTAACTGGTTGATTATCTTTGGCAGATTGCCAGATACCAGGCTGACTTCTGTATGCCAAATGGAACATACATCAGGCTATCTTTCCCTAGTGTCAGACTGCGCATGAGTTTCCATTATATTCCCAACAGGTTAACTCTATTCTTGCTTTCCTCTGATGTAACTTCCCAAGAAATTCCAAGAAATTACAAAAGTAGGATATTATACAGAGAGTCTGTATGTGATCACTTTTTTCATTTCCAACTTTGTTAAACACCCAGTTTTATCAGTAAAAATAAGAAATTAATCTTTAAAATGTAACTATTTGAAATAATGGAAATTAATAAACTGTAGTCAAGTTCTTAATGAGTAAGAGTTTTAAGATCTGGAAGTTGTAAGTTTTACATAAACTACAAGATGTTATCTTTCATTTTATTTTTACTTTATTGAGTTATATGTTTTAAAGTTTGACTTTTTAAATTTCAAATAGAAATAAACCCATAATCAAAAGTTACTTCAGGGCCGGCCCCATGGCGCACTCGGGAGAGTGCAGTGCTGGAAGCACAGCAGCACTCCCGCCGCGGGTTCGGATCCTATATAGGGATGGCCAGTGCGCTCACTGGCTGTGTGTCAAAGGCAAGCTAATGTTGAAAGATGTATCTCAGGGCTGGCCCGGTGGCACACTGGATAGTGCGCCGCTTGGGAAGCGCGGCGGCACTCCCACCCAGGGTTCGGATCCCACATACAGACCGGTTCCCGCTCGCTGGCTGAGCGAGGCGCGCGGGAGCAACACCGAGGCTTGCAATCCCATTGCCGGTCCCCGGTCCGGTACGGGGGCAACACTGAGGGTTGCGATCCGTTGCCGGACACGGAAAAAAGACAAAAGACAAAAAAAAAAAAGAGAAAGATATATCTCAGTAAGATTAAGGATTTAGCGTTCCTCCTTTTTATAGAAGGAAATTATTTCATTCCTATCCCTCTTCTCCCTCTCTTCTTCTCTCTCTTCATCCCTTTTTCCCTGCTTCTCTCTCATCTAAGAAATAGAGAGGCAAATGATCAGAGAGAATTCATTGTCCAATAATAAATTCATGGGGTTTTCTCACTATCTCATATTTACTGAGCATAACACATAGCTCTTTCCTAATAAGAATCACATAACTAACAGGGATATCGATTTAATTGAAAATTGGGGTTTAAAAATTAGGACCTCTAAGAAGCATAGCTTAGAAATGAATAACCAGGTACTTTTTTGTAGTTATTCTTTTCAAGAAGAAATTGATAAATGTACATAAAATAGGTATTTATTCACACTTTAAAGATGTTTACCCCTTGCTTTTCAAAGGAAAGTATGTGGATACACACCTACCCATGTACTTTTCCTGGCTTGTGGCTTCTGTAGCCATCAGCAATCCTTTGGTAAAAAGATGTTTTTATACTATTTTATGACTATTGTTAATTTTCCTTCCTTGAAGCTACAGATTAACATTGGATTTGAGAGGCTCTAAGATCAACAGAAAGGGATTCTAGGATTATTTTTGATTATCCAACTAGCCTCCAAGTCTCAGTCTTTATTTTTTGGTTTTCTTTGTTGTTGTGTAGTCTTTTTTAACAGGGCTTTCTTCAGAAGTGTAGGAATCCTTCATCATCTGCTCATAGTTAAACAAGAAAGCTGATTGAAGTTTTGAGCACTTAAGTTGGGAATTGTTGACTGTGGGCTTCACCATTCAGTAATCTTGTTGGGTGGTTAATTAGTTGGGGACTATCTAGTGAAGTATATATTAAGGTCTTTCCTCTTGGGCCGGTCTGATTGCCCAGAGAATACCTTTCCAGTCTCCTACCTGAATGGCAAGCAGCATCCTTGGAACTGAGTGGTAGAGGAAGACGGCTGAAGAGAGGGGGTTCTTAGCATCTTGTGTGTATGTTTCCTTAATTCCCTTGTTTTCAGTACATTACCCTTTCCCTTCAACTAGGTCTGGTATCCCCTGGTCTAGAGACCTCCCATTTAATCCTCTCCAGAGAATAAACCTTTTTTTTTTTGGCAGCTGGTGGGTACCAGGATCTGAACCCTTGACTTTGGTGTTACCGATACCACACTCTAACCAATTGAGCTAACTGACTTGCCCCCCTCTCCAGAGAATAAACCTGTTCTTTTCCTGGGGTAGGAGAAAGGCATATATAGGGGTCTGCTGCTTCTTAAACTGACTTTCAACCAAATTCCCTTATTTTTAGCGTTTCTCTCTACTTCTTCACTGGTACCACCAGTTATGAGCCTTTTGAAGATTCTACAGTATAAGTCAGCTTTGAGTCTTAGCTTTCTATATTTCTAGCTTAGAAATTAATTTCCTCAGGTTTCCTGAATTCCTTATTACTTCACTTCTTTTTCTAACTTACAAATTTTTATGTCTGTTGTTTCCTGTCCCATTCTCCCCATCCTTGTGGGTATTTACCTTCTTTTTAAAAAACGCTATATTGTCATTATAGTGGGGTTTCAGTAATGTACAAAAAGTACATGTATATGTTTTAACCACTGTCTTTACATGCAAAACCCCTTGATTTAAATCCTTCTTTCTCCCTTTCCTTGATGCTAGAGGTAAATTTTTCATTCATATCTGTGGTGTTGGCTTATTATTCTTTTGATGCACTTATATGAAGTTATTAACAAAGTTTTTTTTATCCCATTACTGGATTATAACATATTTAAAAGCAGATAATGTGTCTCATTCATCATGGTTTATATCCCTGTGTAGTAGGAGGTGCCCATTAAAAATATGGGTAAAATTGATTTTGGTTGCTTTGTGACCTTTGCACTGTTAGTATTCCAGAGTTTGCCCAGAGCCATCCCTTGAGGTTTTCCTGGACCTCCAAACACCTCTGATGGCTGCCATAATTAATTGATCCACCTGATTCTTTGGTGACTGGGGTGGGGAAAAGTCTGAACAGAGATGGGAAAGAAAAAAGGGGAACTGTGTGAGAGCTAAAATATATCATTTGGTTAATTTATATATCTATTTCATATCTAAGCTACATGTGTAGAAAGTTTGAAATGATTTACTTACTTTTTTATTTGTGTTGAGGAATATGTCAAAGCAGTGTTTAGAGGTTCTGGGCCAACTTAATTCAAGTTACGTTATTACTTGAAAAAAGAAAAAAACATTTTTTCAAATCAGTCCCAACAAAATTCTGAATGATTATGTATTCGTAAGACCAAGTGCTTATTTGAAAAGAAATGATATGGTACAAAGTAGTTAAATTTTTTTCTCTTCTTTTTAAAATAAAAGTTGTTCGTTTTGCTTTTGAGCACATAAATGTTTCCTCTTATTGTCTGTAAGACTTATTGATTATAGTCTAAATTAATTTTTTGATGTATATAGTTTTTAAATAAATTGTTTCATTTACTTTTTTGGATAGATAATACATTCAAGTAAATTTTAGATGAAAGTCAGACAAAGCCAGTTAACATATTGTATTAATATTTTACAATGTATAAGTGACTTTTTTATCATTTTTATATGGTCCCATTTGATTCTGTGAATGAGGACAGATAATATTCCATTTCGTTTATGAAGAATCTGACTACCTAAGAGTACAAACCTGGTTGGTGATAGAGCCAGAAACTGAACATAGGTCCTTTGACTCTTACAACTAGTGGTACAGTTATAGTGGAAAAAACTGTGAACTGGGAGTCAAAAGAGCATTGTTATGGCTAAGTAAATAATTCCATTTAAACAAATAAATGTTTACAAGTTTATGGTTTTTACTAGATATGAAGTATCTCTCTAGGGTAGTAGTAGTATACTATACTTTTTTTTTGCATGTACTGAGGTCTGAACCCTTGACCTTGGTGTTTTAACACAACACTCTAACCAACTGAACTAACCTGCCAGCCTAAACTATTCTTTCTCTAAGTTTAGGAAGTGTTAACCTCTCATATTGCTTTATAACATCAATGAACAAATAGATATTTCTTATGTGGTTGTATGACATAGTATCCTTGTTCTCTTATATGAACTCATTCTTCTTTAGGTGCTTCATGCAGACATCTGTTCCCAAGGATCACTTCTGCAAAATGCTGATATTGTTATAATGAATAATGTCTTCGAGTATTTTCTTAATGAGGCAGAACAGGCCAGGTACGTTACTATTTCAAGCAAGAAATCTGTTATTAAAATATATCCAGCAAGATATGAAAAGAGATTGATAAGGTAGAAATGTTTTCATATTAAACTTTTTTAAAACAGTAAAGAGATTGTATTAATAAGGAAATGTGTGATATATGAAACAAAAATAAAAACAAACTTTATCTAACTTTGTAAAATGTTATATCAAATTTTTGACAGCTCTTAAATTATTTCATGACTCAAACATTTGTTCAGCAATCAAGGATACAAGATATCAATTTCCAGTGGACCTTTATGCTTATTCTTTTCTGCCTCAGTTTTCTTTTGTATGAAATAATGTAGCACATTGCTATCCTATCGTAAAATAATGGGAATTAACTAAGGTAAATGAATGTAAAACATGGTATAAGAATATTAACCTGGAAAACAATGATTAATTATCAAACTTTTTTTTTTTTTTGTCTTTTTTCCGTGTCCGGCAACGGATCGCAACCCTCAGTGTTGCCCCCGTACCGGACCGGGGACCGGCAACGGGATCGCGACCCTCGGCGTTGCTCCCGCGCCTCGCTCAGCCAGTGAGCGGGAACCGGTCTGTATGTGGGATCCGAACCCTCGGGCGGAGCGCCGCCACACTTCCCAAGCGGCGCACTATCCAGTGCGCCACCGGGCCGGCCCTAATTATCAAACTTTAAAAATGTTCTTAAGGTGGTAATAGTAGGTTCCTGGAGTTTATTCCACTATTCAAGTAGTAGAAAAATTAGCAAGTCTGTGATCACTTTTCTGACTTCACTGCCACAACTGATTTTTGTGGCCCCTCAGGACCTATAGGATCCTCTAATTAGAAAATTCCTATAGTCTGTAGTCTGAGACACTGATTTTCTGGCCAGTTAGACTTGCCGATTTCTTTTCATAATGGCGTATGTGTACTCTAGATGCAGGAAAGCTCCTATCCATGTGTATGAAAGGGAATTACACTAATATGTTTGGATTAGTGCATCAATAAGGTTTCTACTGCAGAAAAATAAAAATGTACATAATTATAGGACATAGTTATTTCATACCTGTTGTTGTAGATACTAATAAGTGAATGAATGAATGAATGAATGAAAAATAGTTAATACTGATTGGAATGCTAAATGGCTAAACCTCTTTATTCTGTCACAACTTTACCTTCTGTTCGTTCTCTCTCTCCCTTGCTCTCACTCTCTCACTCACTTCGTGTTTCTGTATTGGTCCTTTTCAAAATCTCTTGGAATCACCATAGTCAGCAATGAATGATGTTCTACCTGAAAGACTGTTTTGTATGATATATTTTCTTCCAGTGTTCTTGGAGAGTACTTGTAATAAAGTGACTCCATTTTTTGGGGGGGAAAAAAAAAGCAGGAGCTAGTTCAGCAGAAAGCTAAACATATACTCAAAGCTCAGTGAGAATGGGTGGCGATTTTTGGCACAGGCTAAAGACCACCAGCACAACAAGATCAAAGTTATTTTAATCATAATGCCTTCTTTAGCATCATTTCCAGTGGACAGAGTATAATTAGCTTTTTGCCTTTTAAAGTTAATGACACGGGCTGGCCCGGTGGCGCACTGCTACAGTGCGCCACTTGGGAGCATGGCGGCGCTCCCGCCGAGGGTTCGGATCCCACATACAGACCGGTTCCCACTCACTGGCTGAGCGAGGTACGGCCGCAACACCGAGGGTTGCGATCCCGTTGCCGGTCCCGGTCCGGTACGGGCGCGACACTGAGGGTTGCGATCCATTGCCGGTCACGAAAAAAGACAAAAAGGAAAAAAATAATAATAATAATAATAAAGTTAATGACAGATAGCCATACATTACATAATTCTTGGAAAATGAAATATTATCAGGTTTATGTTTTATAAGAAATCAAAAGAGAAAAACACCTTAAACTCTTTGGAGATTCATTATAGAAAAATGAATGCTGAAGAATGATGAAAGCTCTTGGTGAATTTGATACAGGAAATACTGCATATTTGGTTTTTGGTTTTTTTAAAACTTTCTTGGTACATTCATTGATCAACTTTACAGTGATTCACTGAATAGGTATCAACCACATACATGGTTTAATTCACTTTTCCTAAATTAGTCTAGTGTAATTAATGACAGTATACAGAAGTAAGTTTAGAAGATATAGTAAAGCATTCTGATACTGCAATTGTTTTGACAAAACTGACCATTTACCTATATTAATTCTATTGTGAAAGAGAATAGATGGAACAGCATTTAATCTGCCAAGTTTTATAATCTTAATCAGAATCTAGGGACAAGTGGAATATTATTGTAGGAGGTAGTGTAAAGAGAAGACCAAAATACATCTCAAAGACAGAAAATGTGTACTCAGGAAAAGCTCAGGTTTCTGAGTAAATTAAATCTCATTACAGCATAACACCCTAGATTTGTGGAGTAATTTTTAGTTCAAAAGTTACCTCTAGGGGCCGGCCCGGTGGCGCACTGCGCTAGTGCGCCACTTGGGAAGCGTGGTGGCGCTCCTGCCGAGGGTTCGGATCCCACATACAGACCGGTTCCCGCTCACTGGCTGAGCGAGGCGCAGGGGCAACACCGAGGGTTGCAATCCCGTTGCCGGTCTCAGTCCGGTACGGGGGCGACACTGAGGGTTGCGATCCGTTGCCGGACACGGAAAAAGACAAAAAAAAAAAAAAGTTACCTCTATATACTTTGTAAGTAGGTAAAACAGATACAACTACTACCAGAAACAGCAAGTGCTATACTGACCCATGCCTAACCAGGCAATATGCTCAGCTTCTTCATTTTTATTAAATAAATTGTAAAATATGTCATTTTTAGGAACCACATCAAAGCAACAAAACAGCTCTAGCCCAAACACAATGACATTTATTATTGAACACTGCTACATAGTTTTATATCTAGCCTTAGAGAAAGAACATTTGTATCATTTTGCCTAATAAGCTTCAGAACTTACTAAACCTAATAGCCACTGCTGTAACTAAAATAAATCAAATGATACTACTGCCCACCTGCCCCACTGCAAGGGATGCACATCCCCGCATGCTTGATCATTGCTCCGCCATTGTGTGGTGTACTAACTATCAAGACTCTTGTACAATGTAGAAATTCAGTTCATGTCTACACTAAAGGTTAAACAGAACTGGTCAAACACTGCCCTCTGACACACACACTTGCACACAGCATTCCATTATGCTTTAAAGCTAGCTGATTCCACTAAATTTCTGAAGTGACAAGCTATACCAGAAGTGTTTTCATTTTATATTATATTGAAAGCCAAACTAAGCATGATTAAGATCTAATGTACATATTACACTTATTGTTAGTCCTTGTTTGGTTTCTGGCTTCTATGGCCTTTGTTTCTCCTCAGCTCTTCCCCCAATGAGTGTTCCAGCCCTGTTGCAGTCTGTAAAACCAATTCTGCCATACTTCATAAAGATTTTAAGGGGCTTTTACTGCTGATTTGACTTGTATATCAATTCTGAAAACTGAGTTTTGGTCTTATTCACAATACCTTGCAGTAACCTGAACTCTCATTTTGTTAAGCTCCTTAGTACTGTAACCTTACAATTTTGCCAACACCCCTTCAGGGACTGTGGAATTTACCAACTTCTGGTATTTTCCTGCAGTCTTATTTTCTACAGGCAAAACATTTTTGTCCATCTATATTTCTGTATATTACCTGTGCTGCATTTTCTGTTGTCACTTCTAAAAAATTTTCCAGTGTCTGGTAAAACTTAACATGTAATTTTGTTTCATTTTGTTTTTAACCTTGGTAATAAAGGCATTGATAAGGGCATGCTTTGGATTCCTTTTTTTTTTTTTTTTTTTTTTTTTTTTTTA